TTTTTATTTTATTTTTATATTTAAATTTTATTTTTTATAATATTATATATTTCAGATCTATTGCTACAAAATTCGGTGTAGGGAGGGCTATGGCTTTTCGAGCATTATGGCGAGTGACTTATACTCTTCATTGTGTGGCACCTCGTTTTATTAGATGGCCAAGAAATCAAGTTGCTTTAGATGTGATTGAGCGATTCCAACGATCATGTGGTTTTCCTAATGTTATTGGCGCCATTGATGGAACGCATATTAAAATCCGAACTTCCAATGAAGATGCAGACTCCTACATAAATAGAAAAGGCTTTCACTCCATGAATGTTCAAATGATTTGTGATTCTCGAGGGTTATTTACGCATTGTTACGCGGGACAGGTGGGATCTGTGCACAATGCTAGAGTATTTCGGAACTCGCCGGTAGCTCGATTTCTCTCGTTACCCGAACAATATTTTCCAGAAGATTCTCACATCATTGGAGATGCTGCCTATAATATTCACCCGAACATTATGGTGCCATTTAGAAATGGGCATCTAACCCGTCGACAAAGAAATTTTAATTTTTGTTTATCATCAACACGAATGGCTATTGAAAGAGTGATAGGGCAACTCAAAATTCGTTTTAGAATATTACTTGATTGTTTGCCATTAACAGATACCAAGAAAATCCCAGAATTTATAATTGCGTGTTGCGTATTACATAATATTTGTTTACTACAAAACGACGAAATGGTTATAGGTTTAGTACAACATGACGATGAAGCAAACATTGTATGGGATAATGCGGGTAATGCAAATAATGCAGGGAATGAGAAAAGAAATAAAATTATGAATACTTTGGAAATGAAAGTACAATGAAGTTAATTTTGTGTACCAAACTTCTGTTCTCAATATTTGTAACGAACAATATTTAGAGTAGATTTTAGTAGTTTTTAGAGTAAATTTTAGTTATTTTAGAATAAAATTAAATTTTCTTCCTTGCTTGTTTTTGAATTTTCAGATTTAAACATATTATTTTCATATCAACTCTCGACCTTTCTCTTCTCTGTTGCATTAATATGATTAATTATAGAAAATACTATTAAATAAAAGTATATTCTAATTTTAAGGCCACAATATACATATGTTATTATGAAAAATAAATAATTATTATTTAATTAACTATTTATTGTATTTATATGCTTTTTTTATCCTTTTTGTAACTCTCAAGTTAATAGGCTCCAAAAATTGATAAAAACTTGATAAACTGACAAATAAAACCTTAATAAAAACTTTTTATTTTTGAATAAAAAATTTTAAGTGTTTGTCAATTTGTAAAGCCTGCTAACTTGAGAGTCACAAAGAATTAACGTTCTCGAGTTACGGTATTTATGGAATTTGCGTGAATATGTTTACAAATGATATGTTTGAGAAATAATTAGATTATCAAAATTTACTTTATTAAGTATTTGTCTTACATCTTTGGTAGAAAAAAATTTATACATTTTTAGTATACAAACTTTAGAACACATCTTAGAAAACTCCTAAAACTTAAACATTTTAGAACACATGTTTAGAACTTTTAAACTTAAAAACTTTAGTGCACTTTTACAACTCTTAAAACTTATAAACTTTAGAACATGAACTCTTTAAAATAATTAGAAAACTTATTACTTATTAAATATCTTACTCATCTTACTTATTAACTAATTTGTCAAATTTGTAAAATATTTATCAAAGATTTAGATATTTCCATTTTTTCGTTATATGCATTTTCAAACGCTCACGTCTTTCTTCATCGTATTTCGCTTCTCGACTTTGTTGACGAATTTCATTAT